TATATATATATATATATATATATATATATATATATATATATATATATATATATATATATATAGCCCACACAACTGTTTATTGCATGATAATAACTGAACAAAGACGAAGAAATCGTAAAAAAATCGTCGTAATGGCACGGCCGAGTTGCTTTACGCGTAATAGTAATAATTAAATAAGAACCGAATAAAGAAGTAATAATGCTATTATATGGTATATATGGTATATGGTATTATATGGTATAATAGTATATAATATAGTATATAGTATATAATATAATATAGAATATTAAATAGTAGTGTTAATAACATCTGCTCGACAATCGTGTGATAATATCCGCGAGTGGATAATAACGGAATAATGATGATCGAATAATCGGTAATAACAATACCTGAGCAACAGCTCTAACAAAAACTTTAGGCTGAACAAAGTCTAGGTAAACAAGCCGTCGTAACGGCCCGCTTGGATGAGACTCAGCGGCGCTTCGGGTCATGTAAACACGCGTGTATGAACACGTGCTCGAGCATCACACCATAACACTATCAACCGTCGAGGCGAACGCATTGAGAGTTGTCGCGTTATTTTCTAGATTATTCCGCACCGATTTTTAATACCGCGTTTCGACTCCGCGACAATTAAGTCAATAATTAAGACACATTAAGACGCGTATTCATCATGCGAGCAGGCGTTGCGGGCTTTAACGCGGCAAGTAACTATCCACATTTCATTTACCTTTTTTACGCGTTTCATTTACTTGTTAGAAAGAGAAACGTCGCGATTGAGTTCCTCAATGCTAATCAGATATTATCATCATCCATTAATTAATCGGGTATTATTATTTCTTTATTCGGTTATCATTTATTTATTCTTATTACGCATTGAGAAGGAACTCGAGCGTGCCGTTACGATAATTTCTCTTCCTCGTCTTACTGTCGTACGTGTAACTATTTTATACTAAATTACTAAGTTATTAATTAATACTAAATTAAAATCTATTTACTATATATATTTTTATATATTTTTACATGTTTTTATATATATTTTTTATATATATTCGCAGAGATTCAATAGAGCACACACAGTCACACGTCTATAGGGGATGCGATGCTTGGTGGATGCCGCGCCGGAGGTTCGGACCTGTCTGAGTCGGCTCGAAGGTGAGTTTTAGTGATTTGTATGCATAATAAAAAATCCCAGGAAACTGAAAATTTTTTTGCTTCGAAGTAAGTTCCTTAATGCCTCCATTGTTGGATAACTAATTAATACTAAATTAAATTTGCTTTCTGTTGCAGAAACGAACACTCGACTCTAAGAGGATGCTGCGCCGGAGGATCCGGCTCGGGCCTGGCAAAGTCGGCGCGAAGGTGAGCTTCATTGATTTACACTCGTAATTAGAAATCTGACAAATTCTTTTGCTTGAAATCGAGTTCCTTAACTCTTTCAGACTCCACATTATAATGTACACTGGTTTACTACGTCAATATTTGAATTAAAATCTGTGACAGCAAGAAATTCTTTTTGCTTTAAAAAAATCAGGTCTGAAGGGGTTAATGCCTTTATTATCGTGTGCAACTAATTAATACTAAATTAAATCTATTTTCTGTTGCAGAGACGAAGCAAGTGACCAGCCGATTATAAGGGACTGCTGCGCCGGAGGATCCGGCTCGGGCCGAGCAGGGTTTGCTCGAAGGTGAGCACCACTAATTAGCATTCATAATTAGAAATCTAACAAGACTGATAATTTTGTTGCTCAAAATTGAGATAATTTGAATTGAGTCAAAGATCGCGTTAAATTGTAATTACACGCGGGGAGAATTTTTCTGGGTAACATCGCCACTTCGAAAAATGTTGATTTGTTCTGACTAAGAGATTTATTCACAACGTCGAGAAAAAAAAGTGGAATATTTTAGTGTGAATGTATTCCAAAAAATTCTCCCAACGTGAAAAATATCGCGCTTATTTTTTTTTTTAATCTTTCAAACTTCTTCACTTAAATCGACATCAATGCACGAATCTAATCGGTGAAACGGCATTTTTCTGTTCCAGAAACGAAAGCAGAACGTGGCTGCCCTGCTCGGCAGTTCGGTGAGTCAAAACAAGAAACATATTGATAACAGAAAGACAAAAACTCTTTCGATGTAGTGCATGCTTATGAACCAATGCGATTTATTTTGCTGTAGTTGTAGTATGCGTATGTGCCGTCCAATAAAAAGCACCCTGCTTGAAACATTTGGAAGATCGCTTTTTCAAAAAATAATTTAGTAATGCATATTCTACATAAATTTGGCAAATAAATTTTCAAGTAGTTTTCTCCCAATGTACATATATTTATTAATTAATTAACTTACATTATTGATTTGTCGACGATTTTTGTCGGAGGAAATTTTGATTAATCAAACCAACACTATCTGGTAGATTCTTAAAATATTGAATATACACTCTGAACATTCAAAATTTTGTAAAATTATTCAGTTTTATTGAATGCGATCTTCCAGGTGTCTCAAGCAGTGCGCAAAGAAATTGCGCTACAGAAAATGCGCAATCACATCACCCACGTCATAGATTTTAATTTTCGATCGTTAATTTTCTCAATTTTCTCTTTCGCGTGAACTTGAATCGCGATTGTATTTCATAAAGTAGAGTTCGTGCTTCGTTATTAAGTAAAACTCGATATCGTACGGCATCTGCGCGAAATGATCTAACGTGATTATATAAACTGCTTGCAAAATTAATTTCACGATCGTCGTTTCAATTTTTCACTTAGAGTTAAAGTTTCCTAACGCGGGACACAATAGAGACAATGCTAGCTAGCGTTGATCCCTCGCGAGAAATGCGATGTATATAAGTCATGCGAGCAGTTGTTTGTTTACTTACGCGGCGCGCGACAAATTCCATCGAATGAAGATAGACGTCTCACGCCGTAACATTTTTTTCGCGTGAATTTTAATTAGAATCTTCATCTCTATCGTCACAATTTTCATAGCTTTTTATTTTTCATTCACGCTCGCGTTCGCGATTATTAATTTGATAGATTTGCAAATTTCACCGGATCATGTTTGCGGAAGAGTCGCGAGCGAACTTCACAGAAATATTGCGGAGTTGTTATCCACAAAAGCATTGCGGAATTGTCTTCGCAAAAGTATTGCGGAATTGTCTTCGCAAAAGTATTGCGGAGCTGCTATCCGCAAAAATATTGCGGAATTGTCTTCGCAAAAGTATTACGAAGCTGTTATCCGCAAAAATATTGCGGAATTATCTTCGCAAAAGTATTGCGGAGCTGTTGTCCGCAAAAATATTGCGGAGCTGTATTGCAGTCTACTACGCTGCTCCATCGAAACGTTACATAGGGATATTTCGTGTCGCATATGAGAATTTCGCACAGATTACTTCACCCACGCGTCGAAAGATTTCGCGAGATCGGCCTTCGATTCACGTCGCGTGTTCCCTTCGCTCGCGGATTCCGTTTTCTTCGTAAGCGATTCGCGTCGCGCGTGTATCAAAGCGATACAACTCGATCGGACCGTTGCTGAATTTGTCGCACATACTCGTCGTTTACCCGAAAGGCCGATATTTCCTCGAAGACGCAGTTCGCGATATTTCATACGCAATTCGCAACTCGGAGTGTATCCCCCAAGAGAGACGGAATTTTTCGGGAAACCTCCGTTAGATTCGACCGCGGTCGGGAGTGAATTACAGGCGACGTGGGACGCGAGGACCATCGCAGCGTCAGATGCAGCGACAGGATGGCTGGTGGACTCTGGACACGCGTGGGACGACGCGCAATGGTAAGCGCTCAATTTAGACGCTCATATAGTAGATACAAAGCGTCATTTTACGTAGATCGCATGCACGTAGACGTAAATCGCATTGGGTCCGACGGGAAGTAAAGTAAGAATTGGAATTTGCAATTCGCCGGAGTTACGTAAGAATGATCCAACCAAAGAATTTAGCTCTGAGATTTTTGTAATGGTTTAACGTTTCAGCATTTTCATTTATTTAAGAGTACTGACTAGTTCGATCTTTAGAATTTCAATCTTTAGAAAAATGTCCAAAAAGATGCGACTGGTAAAAAATAAAAAAACTGTTTCTTAATTCATTTCAAACATCTGCAAGGTCTGAATTTTTTTGTTTGGATTAAAAAGATGTGAATGGAGTATCCATTGATAAGAGCTTGTAATTTTTTTAATTGGATCATTCTTGCATAACAATGGCCAATTGAAATTTCGACTCGGCAGGCTTTCTTCTCGTCGGATTATTTCTTGATGATACATTAAATTGATATATTTCAACATGTCATATTTATATGCTCTGTATATGTTATATACGCTTTTTTATGCTCTATATATACTCTATGTATGCTCTATATATGCTATTTGATTAATTACTTTATAACTTATGTCGTATTATATACGACATACTATCTCTTCGGAGATATTTTCTTATGCATACGTGTTTCTTGTTGACAAGACGACAAATTAAATTTCGACAAATTAAAGACAACAAATTAAATTATTAAGCTGAGACTCGAACCGAAATGTTTCGATTTCCCGCTAAATTATTAAGAGATTTGGACCCGAGTGTTTTGAGATTCAGAACCATCAAATTGAGATTCGAACGGATGTGTTTTGAGATTCCGCTAAATTATTAAGTCGAGATTCAACCGAAGTGTTTTATGTTTCCGCAAAATTATTAAGTCGAGTTAAGCCTGGGATAATTTCTTAAAGTTTCTTAAAGTAATTTTCGCGTTTGCAAAGGTATATTTCCGAAAATGACGTAAAGTGTGCGTATTTCGTTCTGCATCATCTCTTGAATGATAATGTCACTCTACTCCTTGAGTAACATGTCCAGAATCTTTAAAATAATTTTCTAATAGCCCAAAGTTCATAACGTTAGATACAACTTAGCGTCATAGAAATGTCGGATTCTCGCGCATTGACTGAAAGTCGATCATTTTACTGCAGGTTATTTAAGTAATATAGTGTTAGTATCTAGAGTATATTTTGGGATATCTTACAGTTTTTTTAAGTAATTTTCGCGTTCGCAAAGATGTATTTTCGAAAATGACGTAAAGTTTAATTATTTCGCTCTGCATCGTCTTCCGGTTCACGTGAAATGCTCCGCTTCATTTTTGCATGTACTTTCACCATGCAAAAGGGTTTTTAATTCGACATAGGTAGAAAGAAGTAATCTTTGTAGAAAGATTCGATGTCTTAAAGTAACTGTTCCTTATCGTTCTCGTCTCATATTGATGGATGCTCCGCTTCATTTTCGCACGTACTTTCACCATGCAAAAAGATTTTTTATTTGGTCGAATCAACACGAGACAATAGTTTTGTAAAGGTATTTGGTATCACATCAACGACATTTCCCAACAAATTTTACTTTGTGTTGACTTGACCAAATTAAAAATGCTTTTATATAGTAAAGGTACATGCATAAATAGAGCATTCTTGCTTCAAGGGTGAAAACGATGTGAAACTATTGCTATCGTGACACTGATTTAATTTTTCAAAAATTACAGCGTACTGATTGCTCCAATTTATATAATAAAATTACGTGCGAAAATAAAATGTAACATAAGTATCTCTGTGTACATAAATTCGATATCATCGGTAAATGATGATAACGTTTTCTACTTTTTGATGATCGCTCTACGTTATCGACGCTTATCAAGTTCGTCGCTCGCTCCGGCATCCCCTCAAGTGGCTATAACTCGTTCATTAGTCGACGTAGCGATATAAAACTAAAAACAATTTCTTTAGGACGCGTCCACGTACACATATTGCCCTTTTATTACTTATTTCCAATACTCAAGTATCGTAAAAAACGGCAACGTAAAAGTACGGCAAATACGATCACACGGGCAACTCGCAACTTCTTTCACGCACGATCAAATTTCAAATTGTTCAGATTCCTTTTGTCGTCTCGCCTATGCAGATGCCTTGCGAATGTAAATGATAATAATGGGAACTTTACTCTGATTCTAATAAACATAATATCCAGACTTAAATATCCGGGAGTTATTCAATTTGCAAGACGTTTAGCTAGGTATTTGAATATAATAACATCGGACAAGTTTAGTGTAAGGAGACTCTCCCGTCGAACATTTTACGTACACATGTGATTATCTTATTTACTAGCGCTCGGGTGATCGTTTCTCGACACGCACAGTCTCCACCGAATCGCGTGACATCGGTTAGACCGCATTTCGAGTAACATGATTTTCGCAGTTAATTGCGGCTTGCTACACCGGACGAAGTGTTAATACTTTCTAGTAGCACCTGCACCGTCGCGATCATTACTTCCAAATACACCGGATTATTTTTGACATCAATGCCGCGCCGTGCTGTGAAAGATCGCGTGATTCGTAAACATAAGAGGGATGTATATACAGGATGTTCCAGACTCTCCTCCGCAATTTCTGTGGGAACGAATTGAGATGAACATAAATGTCCTGTACCGTTTTGCGATATTCGCAATAATCGAGATATTAATGAAAGATGATTAATGAATGATGACGCGTGATATGGTAGATGAGTTGTAGTGACGATGTGTGCTGTTGTGTGTTTGTTAAGTCAAATTGAACAAAAAAACTCTTCATCGTCTTGCAAATAGATTTTTAGTTATTAATGAAAGAAAATTGTTACATAATTGTGCACCATAATGCATAAATCTTCCTTAATTTCTAAAAATCGATATGGTTATTTGCAAAATAGTAGAGGAATTTTTTGTTTAGTTTGACCTAACGTATGAGTATACAATGGTAGACGGCGCCATTCATCTACCATATCGCGCGTGATCATTCGCCAATCTTTTTTAATTTTGATGCAACACAACTAATTTAACTAATACGATTATTTACACTGCGACCTTCATACGATTTGTAACACCTTTTGACTGAAGAGAACTACATTACATGATCGAAACGTTTTTTGTAAAATACTTTTCATGTATCTTTGAATTATAGCACATAATAACTGCATTTAGCTCTTGTGTCCTTATTGAGATTTTTAATTTTGTTAGATTTCTTAGAGCCGTCATAACCTTTGTTTTAATTTTTAACTTTTTTAATTAATATCTCGAGA